AGAATATATTTCAACGGTATTCTCAACGCATATACTATGCATATAGTGTAATATTCTAAATATTTTGTGAAGCCGAACGATAAATAGCTAACAGTATCTACCGTCTAAAATTAAAACTAGAGCGAGAGTAGAGCAGACTTGTCAAATACTTCAGCGTTGTGTCATTCCGTTGTAATATAGGCCTATAATACAATAATTTTTACACTATTTACGTTTTGTGATAATCATAATAAAACTGATACAATTATACACATAGGCCTATGTGTCAGTGCAATAGTGCGTTTAAATTTGCATTTCGATAACATAGCACGTGCAAAATATTTTATTTAGATTTTAGCATTGTATAGCGGTTTCAAAGTGTATAAATTGTAAGAGTTCGGTCCTGTTTGGATGCAATTCAACTATGGGACATCGCCATTGCCAAATTTGCGTACGCAGATTTTATTGCATTTATAGAATGTGTTGAAAATGTTGTATTATTACTAGCTGTAACTGTTTGAGTGCAAGGGGTAAGAGTACATAAAAACAAAATACTGCATGGGATTACCAATATTTTTAATATTTATTCAAACATCTGTAATACAGACTCTTACTTTGTTTACAAACTTTCAATAAGTGAATCGACAACTTTCGTTGTATTTTTAGGTGTTATATGTAAATATGTCAATAATCATCATCATTAATTATTGCAAAATGCACAAAGTGGGCGGTAGAGCGTTTTGACATAATTTTCATCAGACCTTCGTCTTGCGCCTCCCACCCGCAAATTTTAGGGCGAGCAAAACGAAGGTCTGTATTCAGGCTATCTGAAACTTCAACCTGATACCACGCTGATACTCAGGGTTTTTACTTCCACTCAGGGTTTTTACTTCCGCTTTAAGTGAAAACCCTGAGTATCAGGTTGCTGAAACTTATAATGCGCTATAGCGCTTATAACCTTTGGTACGACTGGTGTTAAACTTAAAATATTGATTTAATAAGTTTAATATCAATATATTTATTGAAAAATTGCTAAATAGCTATTATGTCAAAATAAGAAAACTTAAGATTCTCACGCGAATTAGCCAACGGTGCAGACTTCAGCAGAAACACGCGAACAGGCAATGTTTTTATAAGCGACCGTTAATAGTTAGTTGCAAGCGACGGTAATAATAACATTAACAAGGTCAAAGTTGGTCAAGGTTTTATCGAAAGCGATTGACTGTTAGATTTCCTTTACAATTTAGCTTTATTGTAATGTTTTAAATTAAAGGTATAAAAACCCGTGGAAACGGTGAATTACTATAATAGATTGAAAATTATTATTTATCATTTTGACGTTTGAGTGATTGAAATGAGTTAACTTACACTACATCGAATGTCATGTTGAATGTCATGTTGAACCGTATGCGTACTTCACAATGGTTGCTACTTCGTTGTATTGAATTCCAATAGTATTAGCCTACTATTTATAATTCAAATTTTGTTTGATATTTATATTTCATGTTATTTACAAAATGTGCTGTAGTTTTGAAGCTTTGTGCAAAATATAATCAGGGCAAGAACAATGGCCCCGTTTCAGTTTGAGTATATAAAAATCGACGAAACATATAAACGCCTCAGTGAATATTAATCTGCAGTGCGAACACAACGGCTCCAAAATCACAACAAATAACAGAATATAAGGTAAGCTAAAAACAGAAAAGCTTTACCTACCTCGATTTAATTTTTCTAAGGCGCTCAATTATGTAAATTTTCGGCTAACTCGACGAAAACCAGCTAAAACCAGCTTGAAAAGCTCGTCGGAAAAACTTGGTATTTGTCGTATTATATTTATACGAATCTGCCACGTGACTGGTACGCTCACCGCCATCGCCCACCGCTCACCGCCACCGCGAGATCTTGTCTAAAAGTACACACGAATGACCACGAGTGACCACGAGTGACCACGAATGACCACGAATGACCACGAGTGTTATTTTCACGTTTCACGCAATAATAAAGAATAATATGATGTAATATCTTCATATAGAGCATAATATATACATGTAAGAACCAAATAACCGTATTAAAATATTATTACTAATATTGATATTAATATTAATATTAATATTATATTATTATTAATATTAATATTATTATTAATATTAATATTATTATTATTATTACTTTAGTAATAAATACACCAATTAGCATTGAATTTGAGCACAATTTGAAACACAGGTGCGTAAGTGCCATGAAGAGCTACTTCTTAAATAATAATAACAATACCAATAACAATAACAATAACAATAACAATAACAATAATCTGTGTATAATAACTGAATGTTTAGAATCGATTACGAAACAAAACAGAACAAACCAGAATATTAAACTGAGCTAGACCGTATATATTTGACTATTGCCTGTGTCAACCTGAAGTCCTGAACTGAAAATTGTCTGTATGAAACAGTTAGCAATGCGCTAACATCTTCTTGCATTCACGCACGTATCTGCAATGCAATAGAAATGTCAAATTTACCAAAAGATGTACACTTTCTTAACGAAACTCAACATGAAATATGAACTTTTTACACTTTCATGCAACAATTTACACCTTATTTTTACACCTTATGTAAAGTATGTTAGTTCACCTTACACAATTTGAATTTTAAAGTCAAAGGTGGCCACATACTGTCGTTGTTCTTCCGTCAGGCGTTCGCATGTATAACGATCGATGTTTACAATACCAAGAAAGAAGGGATTCTTTCTCCTAATGTGGGAACAGGAAGGATGATAATAGGTGTTGGAGAAATCGGGACTGTATAAAAATTGCCCAGTCTGTTCATCCCGTCGTCTAATTCTTCGGTCCACGTGTTTTACGATTATATTACAAGGAGGGAGCCTGTATTTGTCAATGAAGTCGTCACCACAACCATAACACTTCATGACTATAGGTGCCAAAATGCACAATGTGTAGGGATGAGGAGACATACCTGCATGCCAATTAGGCTGTTCGCGCTGAAAGTTTTGGCTGGGTTGCTGTAAAGATGGTGGGTGACGAAAATTGACTGGATTTGGTTGGTAGACATTTAAATCAGGCTGAATATTACTTGCGATGCTGCGACTTTGTTGGGTGGTGACGCTTGTCTTCTCCACTTGCAGATGCCCATATGATGCCTCTAACTGATGCTCCTGAAATATTTGATGTGGATGGGGCAGCCCTGGGACCATGCCAACGGACTGATGAACTGCAGCTTCGAATTGATGTCCAAACTCGGTTGGTGTTGGAAAAACATTCGGAATAGCAGGTGTGGCTTGCTTCAGCGTTGGGTTCGTCGTGCACATACGTAAAAACGGCTGAGGTGAAGTTCCGGTTTCATGTTCAAACCCAGTAGTTGTTGCTGTAGGTGTGACATTTTTCAGTACTGGGTTCGTTGTGCATGTACTAGAAAATGATTCTTCGGCTCCACTCTTTTTTGAACGTCTCTGCACCTTTTTGTTTACTTCATTGAGCTTGTGACCTTTCTCAGTGATTTTCAAACCGGTCTCAATGGCTGCTGTTATGTTTACTCCTACATTTTTCTTTTTCCCTTTCTGACGAGTAAACTTTGCACGCAAATCGGAAAGATATTCGAACAATAGATCTTGAGTTTCAGCTACTCCAACGGTGTCAGGACACATACCAACACCTTTGAAGGTACTACACTCACACGTAAACAGATTAGATTTCTTGTTCACTGGACGAACGATAAGTGGAGTACCACCAGATTGACTCTTGACAGTTCTGAATCGGGAATCATCTGACGCCGCCTCCTTGATAGCGTTAGGTTCGTTCAAAAGAAACTCCGCTTTGTGGAAAATCTGTTGCAATGTCCCCAGTCTGACACACTCATTTGGTAAATCCGCCTCTTCTGCTGCGATACTCAACACTTTACGCGGAACGTTGCTATTAATTGTTACTTCCTCTGAATCGTCAACAACAATCGACATGTCTGGAGAATGGTCGCTTAGTTGGTGATGATCATTCAAAATATCGATATTTACATCCAGTGGTGCTGTATCTTGCTTTTGTGCTGAACTCCTCTCGGTTGTGGGAGAATAAATTTTCTTCGGTTGCGCGTTAAGAAAGTGACGGACGCTATTCTCCTTCCTCTCTGTCGACATGTCCTTCCATTCATCGTACGTGTATTGGTGATCCTCTAATTCTTTCGAAACACGATAGGGGCCTTCGCCGTACAAAGCTTTCACAGCATCAGAGTAAAGACGAATATGTCTGCCTTTCAGCGCTCCAAGACTGGTTACCAGAGGTGCATCGATATGACTTAAACCTTCAGACTTTACGATATCGTCAATTTCTTTTTTGGACATGAAATGAGACCACTCGATAGGATTCTGGACATAAAAATCTAGCACTCCGGCTTTCTCTCTCACATACTTTACCATGCATTGCCGTATTTTATCTTCCTTGTGATTCTCAAAATATGCGACGAACTTGGGCGGGTTGTTACGGGTTGACGAAACTTCAATAGCATTCCACTCTTTTTTGAACTTCGAGACTTTATCAAGGAACTCCTCCTCGGTTTCACATTCATATAAAGATCCATTCTTCTCTGCCAATGCTCCTCCAAATAAGTCCGAGATAATGCGGCGTTTAGACGCGTTGGGAAACTTGAGTTCTTCAAGCTTCCGTTAAACATTGGCGAAAGGTGTTAGCAACATGGCGGTCAACATGTCTGATGCGAGTACCGATGTAAGCACTTGTTATTCAACAAATGATTGCCTAAGTAATCTGAAAACACTACAAATCGACTACAGTAATGGTAAAGATATCATTATTGATGAGAATAAAAAGCTAAAATGGAAGGAGAGCTATGAAGCTCTTAAAGTCTTTGTCAAGAAAACTCTAAAACTAAACGGGAAATGGTCGTCACCCGGAGGCAACTTAAAGTTATTTAATGAGACCACAGGATCAATTATACTCAGGTATTACACCAACTCTGCCTCTCTCTTAATTCAAGGCGAGAAAGGTGAGTCATTTACAAACATTTTGATCAAAAAGCTCTCGACCATGCATCCGAATTCAGGGACAAATATTATCGCCGATGATAACTCGTGTGAGCCAGAAAAATCGGAAGAGTCACAAAATATGTACGATGTCTCTATAAGCGAGCAGTCTCAAGATATTTTTACTTTCGACCAGCGTATATTGACCGGGACAATCAAACAGAAAAATAATGAACACGTCAGCCATACTGACGAAGTAAATTATATAATTGACCATTCACAAACGCCTAATATGGAGCCGCAAACTCTACACAAGAATCAAGAAATAATGACCGAAAATTGTTCGCAAACGATGCCCCAAACCGACACTGCCAATAGTTCAAATGCAGATCTGTTGAAGTATGTTTGTCGGCTGCGGTGAGGCTAGAATGGAGAAATTATTTGATATTATGTCGGGCGATATTCGTGAACTTAGATCGATCACTGAATTATCATTTGAAATTAGATCTTCTCGTACTTTAAATGAAAATATATCACTCAAGGAAGAGGTCTCCCATTTGAATGAAAAAATAAAAAATCAATCATGTTTGATATCCGACATGGATACGAAGCTGAAGGAGCTTAACAATGAACGCAGTAGCTTACTAACAGTAATCAGAGTACTACAAGTAGAAAATCAAAACTTTCCTCATTATCAGAGACAGCAACAAATGGCTAATTTACATGCCAATATTAACCATCCCCCGCAGAGCCAACAAAGCCAACATGTTGCTCCCTCAGCTCATATTAATCAAACCGAGTGGAACTATGCATATGATAACACGCTTGACCAACGACTCATATATCAGACGGAACAACAACAACGTCATCACCAAAATTCTTATAACGAGACACATCAGTCACAGCAACAATCATACCAGCCAAAACCACAACAGAAACAGCAACTGCTACCGCAACATATATATCAGCGACAACATCTGGTGGCTCACTTACATGACAACACCCATCATCCCCCACAAAGCCAATATGTAGGCCCCCTTGTCCAGCCTCAAATTAATCAAGAAATCAATGAGAGGAACCATGCATATAGTAATACGTTTGATCATCAACCCAGACCCCAGTGGGAACAGGCCGAACAGCAATACATTAGCAACAACAACGATACGCATCAGCTGCAGAAACAATCGCATCAGCCACACCATGATCAGCAACAGCCACCTCAGCAGAAACAAGATCATCAACTGCGGCCTTACAATGACACTTCACTACCCAAACAACACCACCACCATCCTAAAAAGCATGCTGGAGAAGATCTCACAATTATCCTAGGAGACTCTTTGACAAGAGGAATCAATACGAGGAACATAAGAAGGTCAACCAGTAAAAATGTAATTATCCGCACTTTTCCTGTGGCAACGGTTAAGGATATGGTAGATTACATTAAACCATCCTTGCGTTTACAACCTGCCCATATTATTATCCACGTTGGGACCAACGATCTGAAATCAAGTGAGGTCAAAACGCTAACTGAAAACATATCCAAGCTCTGTGATGAGATCTATAACTTCGATCCCAAGATCGACATCACACTTTCACAAATAATAACTAGAACTGATAGCCCTGGCATTAACGAAAAGGTCGCCCAACTGAATAACCTACTAAAGGGTCTGTGTGAAGCTAGAAAATTGGGTATAATAAGCCACGAAAATATTGATGAAAGAGGCCTAGACAGATTTGGCCTGCACCTTAATAGGTCAGGTAGTGGTATCATGGCAAGAAACTTAATTAACTGTATTCAGCATCTTTAGCAATTCTAAATTAGATATCTTAGATGACCTGAATTCCAACCAACCCATGGCAAATATTAATTTAACCGACAACCCTTTTAGTCTAATTCCAACAAAGGGTCTGACTTTCTTCCATTTAAATATTCAGGCTATCACAAATAAATTGGACCAAGTTAAGCTTATGATTTCTGAATCCATAAGGCATAGGAAGAAAAGCAACATTATATTTTGTTTCTCTGAAACTCATTTAAATTCTAACTGGTCTGATGACGAATTGCAAATTAGAGAGTTCAACTTCATTAGGAAGGACCGAACTTATGCCTCAGGTGGAGGTATTCTGATTTATATCCCAGAAACAATTAATTTTCAATATCGCAATGATTTCTCGTTACAAGAAAATAATTGTCCGCTTGAATTTATTTGGTTGGAATTTAAGCATCCTAATTCAAAACCCTTCCTGATGGCCATTATGTATCAACCGGGAAATAATACTCTCTGGAGAGATAACTTAAACTATGTATTAGACATGGCTGACAATGAACACAAAGAGATAATTATGTTAGGGGACTTAAACACAAATTTTCAAGATAAACATTCTTATCAACAACTTCATGTTCTAACATCTCAGTATCAGCTTAAACAACTTATTGATGCAGTTACCAGGCCAATATTAGGTAAAACAATTGACCTTATCTTTACCTCTAAGGAAGATAATGTTATTAAATCAGGCGTGCTAGATATTGGGATGAGTGACCATTTGCCAATTTTTATCTCTAGAAAAATTAATTCCAGGATCTCAATTAAACAAGGTTTACATACAACGATTAGTTATCGCAGGAAGAAAGATTTTATTGCGAGTGATTTTGACAATGACCTTGTTGAAGAAATCCCGTTAAGCCTTTATGAAATCTTTGATGATCCAAACGATCTATTAGACTGTTGGTACTCTCACTTTATGAAAATTTTGGATAGGCATGCACATTTAATAAAACGTAGAGTCAGAAATAATAAACTGCCGGGGTGGTTTAATTCTGAAGTACGTTGCTTTAGCCGCAAAAGAGACTTTTTCTTAAAGCAATTTCTAAAAACCAAAAACTCTGACACATGGTGTACCTACAAAAAATGGAGAAATAGAACTGTTCATATTATTAAAAAGTCAAAAGAGGACTACTATAAGAACCTCCTGACTGATAATGTACATAATCCACGACAATTATGGAAAATTCTAAAAGATATCTTGCCGACCAATGACACTGTCTCCCAAATAACACTTAACATTAATGGCAAGGAGATCAGTGATCCTATCGAGGTTGGCGATCTCTTTAATGAATACTTCTCCTCTATTGCAGACAACTTTGATATCAGTTTACTAAACAACCCAATTAATACTCATTTACCAATTGCAACAAATCATATTAAGTTTACAATTCCACTGATAACAAGCGCGCCATGATGGCTGCCACGGTGTTTTGGCTCTGTCTTATTGCATGCAATTTTACTGTCTTTTTACATTGAATCTTCAAGATATTTATAACAATATAAATGAAAAGTCTTCTAGTAAAGATCTGGTGACTACATCTAACAATATAAGCTCGTTTTCAACGGTTTTTCTGGTATATTTCTACACGCCTCGTTCGAAGTCAATGAAATGGAACCTGGCACGCAGTGGTTTTATCGGTTGCAGAACTGCTATTACAAAGTGGTCAAAGCATGGAATAATCAACCTTTTGATCCCAGGACATGATCCTCCCGTAGATATAACGATTTACGTGGATATTTGTCGAAATCCTGGCCCTGTACACTCGGGTTTGGAGTCGAATATATCTCAAGGTCAAAGTCAAAATAGCGGAACATTTATGCAAACTGCAGTTGTTGACAAAATAACCTACAATCGAAGCAAGTTACTTGATATCCGCCGTCAGTGTATTACACGAGCCAACCACCATTTATTATCAACACTTAAAGATCTGGGTTTGCTACGTTATAGAGGTTCGCGTGGTGGGAAACGTAAAATCTCTGTCATTATTTCCCCTCGAGGCAGAGAAAGCCGCTCTGCCTGGGGTCATACAACCGGAACGGTGAATTGGAATAATTTGGTATCAATCAAATGTCATCCGGAAAACAACAATAATAAGACTTCTTCTCAATTACCTCATGTCCTACTTAGTAATATAAGATCATTAGTACCCAAGTTTGACGAATTGTCTACGTTTTTAATGTTAAACAAAGCGGACATTGTTGCCATTTCCGAATCTTGGTTGAATGAACGAATAGACTCGTTATTTGTTACTATCGCCGGGTATGATTTATATCGTCTGGATAGATTGAGCGGTCGTGGAGGCGGTGTTTGTGCCTTCGTTTCTGAAAACATACCATGCAAACGGTTACTTGATCTAGAAAACGCAAATTATGAATGTATGTGGCTATGGTTGCGACCTTATCGTCTGCCAAGGCCCCTCTGTGGTATACTCATTGCTGTTCTATATTGTCCTCCTGAAACATGTGCCGATAAACAGCGAGAATTTGTTCATTATTTAAGTGAAACTATTGATAGTGTCCGTGATTCATCACCAGATTGTGGAATAATTGTGCTGGGCGACTATAATAACCTGGATGTAAGTGATTTACTGAGTCAACACAGTTTAACCCAAGTAGTAAAAGATCCTACAAGACTTAAGGCAACACTTGACCTTGTGATCACTAACATGCAGACATGGTATAATGATCCGACCGTAACAGCCCCAATAGGAAGCTCAGATCACAACACAGTTTTATGGTACCCAAAAGCCGCAACCAATAACCCTAACCAAAAGAAGAAAAAATGCTTTGTACGCCGCTTTCCCCAGTCAAGTATTATCGCATTTGGTAGGTGGTTAACTAACCAGGAGTTGTTACGTGATTGCACATCAACAGACGTTCATGAACAAACCCTCACATTCACTAACAAGATCTTGGAAGCTATGGATATCTTTTTTCCATTAAAATCAGTGAAGCTCCATAACTCTGATAAGCCATGGATGTGTTCATCTCTTAAACAACTTATCTTGGATCGCCAAAACGCTTTCCACAACGGTAATATGCCCTTGTGGAAACATTATCGCAATAAGGTAAAACAAGCGATCATATCCCAGAAACAATCATTTTACTCCGAAAAAGTGCGTCATCTTAAACAGACAGATAGTAGGTTGTGGTGGAAACTTGTGAAAAGATTGTCTGGCAATGCAAACACATCGACATCCTTTCACATTGAGAAAAATGGCTCTATCTTAAATGATCAAGATTTAGTTAATGAACTGAATGAATTCTTCACCTCGGTAAATGCTGACATTCCACCACTTAATCTACATAACTTACCTGCGTTTTTACCATCAATAGATCAGATACCAACTATTCAACCATATCAAGTACGCAATAAACTTTTGAAGCTGAATACAATGAAAGCCCCTGGACCAGACAACATCCCGTCAAAAATTCTAAAGTCTTTTGCATATATCTTAGCAGAACCCATCACTGACATCTTCAACGTTTCATTGTCGTCAGGTGTTGTACCAGAAATTTGGAAACAGGCAAATATATCCTCTATTCCCAAAGAGTCTCCACCTAAAATCCTTTGTGATTTTCGTCCTATTTCCTTAACTTCAACCCTCTCAAAAGTTCTTGAAGAATTTGTTGTTGACTGGATTACTGAAGATATATGTGATAAGATTGATGCCAAACAGTTTGGTAGCCTCAAGGGTGGATCTACAACAAAATGCCTTCTGGATATGCTACACAACTGGCTATCAAATGCTGATAAACAAGGAAATTCGTTACGAGTCTGTCTTCTCGATTTTAGCAAGGCTTTTGATCGTATTAACATCAATATCCTGATTGAAAAACTCTTAAATTTAGGAGTACGTAGGTGTTTGATCCCTTGGATATTTAATTTCCTATCAGATCGAAAACAGCGAGTAAAACTCGGAGAAACGGTATCGGACTGGATGTCAGTAAATGCAGGAGTTCCACAAGGCACTAAATTAGGTCCTATTTTGTTCCTTATTATGGTAAATGACCTTATTCCACTTAAGAGCGATTATTGGAAATATGTAGACGACATGTCGATTTCGGAGGTAATACCAAGAAATGGTGTTTCAAATATGCAGTCAGAACTGGACCATATATCATCTTGGGCCACTAACAACTATATGAAACTGAACACGAAAAAATGTAAAGAACTTAGAATAAGTTTTCTTCGCGATAAACCCAACCTTTCCCAACTCTACATCAATGGTATTCCAATTGACACTGTCGATAGCGCTAAAGTTCTTGGAATTTCTCTTCAGAATGACTTGAAATGGAAAAGTCATGTTGACAATATTACAAAGAAAGCTGCTAAACGGTTATATATCATACGTGTCTTAATTTAAAGCGTAATGGACTTCCTGTTGATGATCTAATAACAATCTTCAAAACATTAGTCAGATCAATCCTACAATATGGTTGCCCAGTCTGGCACTCGAGTCTTCCGACGTACTTGTCTGATAAAATTGAGAAAATTCAACGAAGAGCTTTCCGAATTATATATCCATTTCAATCGTATAATGATGCACTTTCAATGTCTGGTTGTCTGTCATTAGCGGAAAATAGACAACAATTATCTCAAAAACTTTTTAAACAAATTAAGTCGACTAGTGGTGATCGTTTGTCGTATCTCATACCAGAAACCAGATTTCAGAAACATGGCCGAAAACTTCGAAACAGTGAAAATCTCGACATTTTTAAATGTAACACAAATCGGTTCAAAAACAGTTTTTTCCCAACTAACGTTAGTTACTGCAACTCAAATAGATAAGCTCAAAATATTTTTAGACATTTTATAGTAGTATAGTAAGTTGTAGATATTTATTTATATATATATATATATATATATATATATATATATATATATATATATATATATATATATATATATATATATATATATATATATATATTTATATATTATAGACAAGTTTCGAAAAATAGGGCTGCTTATATGTGTT